TTATTTTATTTTATTTATTTATTTTATTTATTTTATTTTATTTTATTTTATTTTATTTTATTTTATTTTATTTTATTTTATTTTATTTTATTTTATTTTATTATTTTATTTTATTTTATTATTTTATTTTATTATTTTGTCAAGTGATTACAAGGTAACTGGTAGAAATATAAACATAGTTATGAATACATGGATACATATAAGAAAAATAAAAAAAGAAACAATAGACCTCTTAGGAAAGGGGTGAGGTCAATAGTAGACAGTCTAAGGTTTTTATATTTCACATTTTATAGCTCTATAGATATACGGGTAGTTTGCTTAAATTTTCTTTGATATGGGGGAACTCTATGCAAAGAGCTGGAATTGGCCAGTCGAGCCTGCAGGGCCACCCCCTCTCTCCCCCACCCCCAGATCTTCATGGAGACCATCATGTTCTACACCAGGGCTCCCCAAACTTGGGGACACAAGTTGAAGACTTGTGGACTTCCAATTCCCAGAATTCCCGAGCTAACATGACTAGAGGAGGAATTCTGGGAGTTGAAAGTCCACAAAGCTGTCAAGTCTGAAGACCCCTGCTCTATCTGATACGCAGCTCTATCATTCCCCTCTGTTGTAATGGTTTCCTGTATCACATTGCCCCTCCAGGTTTCATCTCTATTGTTCCTGTGATGCATTTCCTGTTCTTGTATTACAAGGGTCTTCAAACTTGGCGGCTTTAAGACTTGCGGACTTCAACTCCCAGAATCCCTAAGCTAACGTGACTGGAGGAGGAATTTTGGGAGTTGAAGTCCACAAGTCTTAAAGTTGTCAAGTTTGAAGACCCCCCGTTCTGCACGATCTCCGGGTTCAAACTTCTCGGCTTTACCCCACTCAGCTCTTTGGCGTCTGCCTCCCTTTCTGCGAGTCGCCCTGACAAGTGACCCCTTCCCCCCCCTCCCCCACAGGCGCGGGGTCAACAAGCTGGAGGAGCTGCTGGCCCCCCTGGTGGCCGATGGGCTGGCGTGCGTGCTGATCTTCGGCGTCCCAAGCCGGGCCACGAAGGTGGGCTTCTTGAGCTGGTGTTTGAGCCTCGGCTCCTGGGCAGGGGGCCTTCCTTCCAGGCGGGTAGGTGGGCAGCTGCTTCTTCCCTCTCTCCTCCACAGGATGAGCGCGGCTCTGCAGCGGATGCCAAAGACACCCCCGCCATCCAGGCCATACGGGCGATCCGCTCTTCGTTCCCTGAGCTGCTGGTCGCCTGCGATGTCTGCTTGTGCCCTTACACCTCCCACGGGCACTGCGGTGAGTGCTGCCGGGCTCGCGAAGGACTAGGAGCTTGAGGTGCAGATGCCAAAATGGCTTCTGAGAGGGCGCCCTAGTGCCGCCTTCTCCCTTGTCAATCTGGGGTGAGGGGCGCAGAGGGGCTGGGAGAGTATCGCTTGCCTTGCCTTTCAGGCCTCCTTCGGAAGGACGGCACCCTTGACAATGAGGCCAGCTGCCGGAGACTCGCTGAGGTGGCCCTGGCCTACGCCAAGGCAGGTAAGGTGCTTGCTTCCTTGGCTTGCAGGGCACTTCTGGGGCATCTACTTGGGAGTAAGCTGGGGCAGGCAGAACAGGTGAGGCGGGGCTGGACTTCCACCAAGAGCCTGGCCCTGTTCTGACCCAAACCTTGTTCCCAGGAAACCGACACGAAACAGAGGTAACAGCAATACCTTTTAATGATTCTTTACGAATTCCGTTCCTTCCCGATTAAAAGGCTGTTTCGAACTCATTGTCTCTGATAAGAACGAGCCTTGACAAGGTGGTGCAAGGCTGCCAAGAACACTAGATAAAGTTGCCAAGGAATATTTCAAACACAAAGAGTCTCCAAACACCAACCAGAATAGTCCGAACGTCCACAAGGCTTGAGTGCAAAAACTTCTTTGCTTCCTGCAAAGAACTCCGGTTTCTCAGCTGGCTTTTATCTCTTAAGGGAGGGGCCATTACCTTGCAGCCTTACTCCCGAGTCGCCCATGCTGCTGCAGCTGCCCTTCGAGCAGCCCTGAGCACACACGCACTTGGCACAGGCTCCTCAGGGGCCTCTTCATCACTGCTGCCAGCCTCCACCATCTCCAAAGGCAGCATTCTGCTCCCTGATGGTCCTGGCCCATCCCTGCATCACACGCAGGCCCCTCACCTGAGTCCTCGCTCTCTGAGACCTCAGTCATCTGCACCTGCTGCCAACGAACCACAACAGGCCCCTCCCTGCTCCAGGACACGCTTAGCCTTGCTTCTCCCTTGGAGGAACCCTGGTCAGAGAAGCCGCCACCATCGCCAGTTCACACCTCTTGTCACCTTTCCTCAGGCTGCCACATCGTGGCCCCCTCGGATATGATGGACGGGCGCATCCATGCGATCAAGGAGGCCTTGGTGACCAACGGCCTGGGCAATAAGGTGGGTGTGAGGGACTAGCAGGCTCCAAACAGGTGTGGCCAGGAGCCTCTTTTGCAGGACGTTGAAGCAGGTCAGTCCAGGGCCAAGTCCCAAGCGCAGAGGCCCCGAGAGACCAGCTTTTTCAGGTTCTGCACAGCTCCGTGGGGAGAAGAGCGGGAGGTGCTCAGGGTCTGGGAAGACGTATGTGCGACTGCCATGCTGTTATCCCTGCAGGTGTCAGTCCTGAGCTACAGTGCCAAATTTGCTTCCTGCTTCTACGGCCCTTTCAGGTGAGGGTGGCTGGGCCTGGTTTTTTTTGGGGTCGGGAAGTGGGACCCCCATGACCAAAAGCGCAGGCAACCGAGCAGCTGCCAAGAGAACTTCAACCCTTTGGTGCCTGGGGAACGAAAGGAGGTCATTCGGAGTCTTCTGCTTTGCGTAGAGACGCGGCCTTATCCAAGCCCGCCTTTGGGGACCGGCGGTGTTACCAGCTTCCTCCTGGATCTCGAGGCTTGGCTCTGCGGGCGGTGGTGAGTGGCCTTGGGAGATAAAACCAGCTGGGCTTGTGGAGCAAGTGGGCCCTAAGGGCGCTGCTGGATGTTCATCGAGGGTGATCCCCAGTGGTGGGATTCAATTTTTTTTTTACCAACTGGTTCTGTGGGCGTGGCTTGGTGGGTGTGGCAGGGGAAGGACACTGTAAAATCCCCCTTCCTTCCCCGCCCTGCTAACCTACTTTCCAGCTCCGTTCTCCTGTGCAAGCCACAAAAGAAGGGGATTTTACAGTATCCTTTCCCCTGCCACGCCCACAGAACCAGTTGTAAAAATATTTGAATCCCACCACGGGGCGGAGGTGTGTGTGTGGGGGTGCATTTGACTAACACTCTTGGCGAGGTTCCACGGGGCAGGAGGCTTAGTCAAGGCAGAGCGTTTTTCGCAAGGGATCAGGTGAAATTGTTTGCAGTTCTGGGAGGTCAGACTGTCACACGGTTCATCTTTTGCTTCAAAGGGCTGTTTTATTATTACCTTTATGGTCAGAGTACAACCTGTGTACAATGAGATTGGCTGAGCCTCCCTTTGTGCAACACAACTCACAGTGAGGACAGAAATTCCTAACCCAGTCCCAGTCTTATCACACTATGTGACCTTGTTGCACAACACCACAGCCCCGCAAGTCTGTCATACTATGTTGACACGAAGTGATTTTCCGTTCAGAAGTCTGACAGCCCACGGGTAGAAACTGTTCTTCAGCCCATTGGTGCAGCTGGCTCTGCTTCTCTATCTCCTACTCAATGGTAGGAGAGTGAAGAAGGACTGACCGGGATGTGAGGATTTTCCTCGCTCTTCTAAGGCAGCGAGCCCTAGCGAGGTCATCTAGTGGTGTCAGGGGGGACAGCCCACGATGTTTTTGGGCTGTGCTCACCACTCTCTGTAGTGTCTTTATCTCCGCGGCTGTCGAGCCAGCATGCCACACCGTCATGCAATGTGGGAGGACGCTTTCTATTGTGGACTGTTGGGCTTTTGTTATTGGGGAGCAGGCAACGCTGCCTCCCTGTCCCCCAAACCACAAGAAAGGAATATATATTGCTGGTGTTGCCCAAAGGAGTGGGCAGAAAAGGCAAGGCTGGGCACCTGCAGGCTTTGGCCCAGAAAACAAGCTCTGTCTCTGTGTGTGTAGTTGTGCTCTGGCAGAGCCAATTCAGGACTGTGGAAGGTCAGGAATGTGAACTTGGCTGCCCGTCGGGTTAAGCACCTGCCTGTGCCGTGAAGCGGCTCTGCTACACTCCCCTGACCTCCCTCTGCTGTATCCCCTCCCCTCCAGGACCGGGATGTGCAGGAGGGGGCAGACATGTTGATGGTGAAGCCTGGGATGCCCTACCTTGACCTCGTGCGGGAAGTGAAGGACAAAGTAAGCCCCTCCCTTCCTTTCCCTCCCCCCCCCCCGCGAGATTGGGCAGTAATGGTGGATGCCTGGCTGCCCCCCTCCCACTGCTCCCATTAAATGCATGTTTCCCCAGCATCCCAGCCACCCGCTGGCTGTCTACCACGTCTCGGGAGAGTTTGCCATGCTGTGGCACGGGGCGCAGGCCGGGGCCTTTGACCTGAAGGCGGCAGTGACGGAGGCCATGGCCGGGTTCAGGCGAGCAGGTGAGCGAAGGGAGGAAGGGCAACGAGCACTGCAGATGCTGCGAAGAGGAGCCCAAAGCCAGTGCCCAGCCTAAGGTGGGAGGGGGAGGAAGGGAGAAAGGGGGCTGGAGGTGCCAAGAGGGGCTGAATCCCACCTGTTGGGATTCCTGGGAGAATGACACCAACCTTGGCTGTGGAGGATGGTCCTTCGCTGGACAACAAATGGGCTGAATCAGCTGGGAGCCGGCTTCTTCTACAAAAAAGAAAATATAAATAAATCATTTTTTTTGGAAACGCTTCTCTTCGCAGGAGCCGATGTCATCATCACCTACTATGCGCCTCAGCTTCTGCGGTGGCTGAAAGAAGACCAGGCGTGAACAGGGTCCAAGAAGGAAGCATGAAACAGGCTGGAATAACTGGGTGGCCAAAGGCGGGAAACTTGGATTTTTTGTTTTTCCGTTTCTCTTTTGCTTCAAATCTCGCGTTTTATAAATTTAAAAGAAATTTGGCTGCTCCAAGCAATTTTGTAACAAGATTCCCAGTCCCTGGCTGATACACTTTCTTTAAAAACAAAACACTTGCCTTTTCAAATGCTGCCACAATGTTGTTATTCCTTGCCGGGGTTTTTGTTTGTGCTGGTTAGTTGCCGAATATCGAGAGAGAGGGGGTGCTGCATTGGTGGAAGGACCCGAAAAGAGACGGGATCTGCCCTTTCCAGGGGAGAAAGAAGCGGTGGCTGCATCATACGTCCCCCCGCCGTTGAGTCTCCATCCCCAGGTCCCGGCGAAAGGCTAAGCCTGCGGTAAAGTTGACTCTCAAAGGGATGCTGAAGGCAAGCTTTCAAGAGTGCTCGCACAGTGCACCCTGGTGCATGGAACCATACACAAAGGGCCCGGGGCAGGGCTTGCGATCTCGTGTGGGAAAAGGTGGGAGAGGAAATCCGATCGGTTTGGCAGCCCTGGGCTGCTTCCTGCCTTCCCTTCAGTCTGCCTCTGTTTGCCAACCAACCGGTTTGGCTGCCTACCTAGTCCAGGAATGAATCTTGAGAAGGAGATAAAGGGATTTTAGCAGGCTGGATTTCTTCTAAGGGAGGAAACGTCCACTTTAACAAATCTTAACCCAAAGTAAATTCAACAAAACGTACGTAACTCCCTGCTCATAAAGAGACTGCAGCATCAACAGCCCAGGTGTGTCTTGTCTTGGGGTTGGGGCAAGGCCTGCAAACGTAGCCAATATGGAATGACAGCGTGATCCAAAACTTATTTGGGGAGCCTAGGGGATTCTGACAGGCACACAACACTTCCACAAGATTCCTGTCAGCAGGACATGAAACTTCAACTGCCACAATGCAATGGAAGAGCTTTGAGTTTAGACTTAATATACAGTCGCGATTGATTCGGGAAGGAGCCCTCGATATTCCTTTGCAAGTTTACCTGCAATCTTTCTGTTCCCGTTCTTCTCCAAGCAACCCAACATGTTCTCCTTTGCTAGCAATATGGGAAGACTGGTTTTTTTAATCAGCCATACAGCGAGAATCTGAGTCCTGCGGACAAAGAAAGAATAGCAACCACAAAAAGAAACTCTTTTTGTGAGATTTTAAGGTTGTTATTCTGTATCCTTATTATTAAACCCCTTATTATTAACATTAATAGGATAACAGGAGTCCCAGGGGCTGCAACAAGGCACAGAGGGAATCCTGCTTCAAAAGACTTAAACTGAGTTAACAAGCTCTAACATTGATGGCCGCAATGTTAATGGTAAGGGACAGAAAAGAGCGCCATCCTGCTGCTAAAGCAGGTTATAGCAGCTACCCAAGAAACCTTTGTAATGGCATTTTAAGGTTTATTTATTATTAAACCCTCGTTATTAATAGGCCATCCTAGGCCTTCTGAACTTGGTTCATGGTGTTTGAAGCAGGATTTCTTTTCCTGTCGCTGTGTTGCAGCAAATGGGCCTCCAGTCCCCGTGGTAATGTTGGAAGAATTATCCTTCTGGGTTCAGTTCCAAGCGGGGAAAAAGACACTGGAAACCTGGAGTCTGTTTGGAAAGATGGTTTAATGGCTTGGGGAAATATTCGGCCTTTTTAGCATTTCCTAGGATATTTCATTTTCCTAGGAGAGGGGTGGGTTTATAACTTCCAACAGTAATAAGGCGTTAATAATAAAGATACAGGACGATAACCTTAAAATCCCATTAAAAGGGTGTCTTTCTTTCGGCGGCTGCAATTCCTGCTTTGGCCACAGGACGGCAGAGTTTTCCGTCCCATAGCGTTAGCATCGAGGCGGCCTTTTTGATGGCCTCAAGTCGATCGCTAAGGGACAGAAAACTCTGCCGCCTTGTGGACAAAGCAGGAATTGCAGCCACAGAAAGGAAGAAACCTTTTTCCACTGTATTTTAAGGTGATTATTCTGCACCTATTGAAGCTATATTAAGCCCCTTTAACTCGGTTTAAGGCTTTTTGGAACAGGAATCCTCCTTTTGTGCCTGTTCGGCAGCCCCTGGGTGGGCAGAAAACAGCGCCATCCTCTGTTCAAAGCAGGTAAACGGGCACAAAAAGAAATCCCTTCCCAGCATGGCCGACTTCCTTTCCCCTCCTTCTCAGTCACCCTCCCAACTTCCTTCCGTAGCGACCTTCTAGGCATTGTGAACTTCCTGTCCGTCCCCCGATGCCTGAGAAGAACGACGGCCGACTTCCCGTCCATCCTTTTTAGTCTTCCCTCCACCCCGGGCCGCAACACAAGGAGAGTCCCGCTTCAAAAAACTTAAACCGACTTTAAAAGACCTACGAAAACTTCAATGCTCTCTCTAAGGGACAGGAAACAGCTCCCTCCGGTGGTGACAGTCGGTACTGCAGCCACACAAAA